TGTGACTTTGTGGAACAAGCTATATGGATCTGTTGATCCAACGTGTGGTTGCCGGTGTGAGGCTGCGGCTTTGATTCGGGCGCGCGAGGAACAGGAGAAGACTCATCATTTTTTGCTCGGGCTCGACGACGAACAGTTCGGTCACATCCGATCTCAGATTATTGCCACCGAACCTGTTCCGGACATACACCGGGCTTATACACTCATCGTTCAAGAGGAACGGAATAAGAGCATTGTCTGTGGCCGAGATGATCGTACGGACGCTCTCGCCTTTGCCATGCAGCGTCCCGCTCCTACCTTGGGTCGTGGAGACCCCCCCATTATTCGTGCACACATTGTGGAAAAGACGGCCATTCCGTGGATCGGTGCTATCAATTGCATGGGTATCCGCCCGGGAAGGGCCGTGGAGGTCGCGGCACTGCATCCGACCGAGGGAGTCGCGGCGGTGGCAGAACGCCGTCCGGCGGCAGTAGCGCCCCTGGCCGTGGGTCTGGCCGAGGGATAGGATCGGCGACAGGGGAGCAAATGCAGCCACCAATTCCAACGCCTTAGGCCTCACACCTGATTAGATGACTCGGTTACTTTCCATGCTCGACGTCTCTTCTTCCGACAAGGATACTGGGTCTAATGGTGAGGCATCGGCTCGTGAGTGGCTTATTGACAGTGGCGCCTCTCATCACATGACTCGTAATATCTCTTTTTTAACTGATGTGGTTCCCATGGCCCCCTGTGTCATCACGTTGCCCAATGGCACACAGACTACAGCCACTCGATGTGGCCGTGTGCGGCTCTCACCTGAAGTAGTGCTTCGAGGCGTTTTGCTTGTTCCTCATCTGCAGTGCAATCTTATTTCTGTTGGTTGTCTTATTCGAGATACCTCTTGTCTTGTTACTTTTAACAAAAACTGTTGTGTCATACAGGATTGTGTCACGAAGATGGAGATTGGACGGGGTGATGCACACAATGGAGTTTTCTTGTTTCGTCCATGTTCTACAACATTTGCTACCCAAGTGGATCCTTCTCTCCTTCATAAACGCTTGGGGCATCCATCTGTTCAAGTTTTGTCGTCTCTTATTCCTTCTGCCAGTAGCTCTAAACTTAAATTATTACAATCATGTGAAATTTGTTTCCAATCCAAACAAGTTCGTAGCTCTTTTCCTATTAGTTCCAATAA